TATCTTTGGAGTTGTAGTAGATCAAGTGAGGAGAGTGGCTTTTCTTGAGGCTTGATGGTGTGGTGGTGCCTGTTGAAGGGAAGAAGGAGGCTATGTATTAAGGAAAGTACCAGAGAGATGACAGAGAAGGAGAAAGTAAATACAGCTGAAGCTGGAGCACTGGCTTCTTCTATAACTCAATCAACTGAAAGCTCAACTGCTTTAGGATTCCTCCTCCTGTTGGCCTTCTGGCCTGTTTGGAGGAGATTTGCAAGTAAAATTTCAAAGCAAGAATTTATTAGGAACTTCAGTCTCGTCTTAACAAGTTAATTAAAAGAATGAAAAAGAAGCAATTCCTTGTGACCACCTTGGTTTTGGTGTGTCTCTGAAAGACTGCATGGTGGCCACTAACTAGCCCTGTGAAGGGCATCTTAAGAAACTCAGTCCTCTTGGAACAGGGTTAGTTCAGCTCCCTTAATGTAGAAACAGGGTCTGGGAAATGATCAGCCAGATCAGCTTTTAAGGGGCAGAAACTTATTGCTCCATGATCCTTTGGAAATCTCCAGCCCCTCTGTCAAACTGAATCTGCATTATATCCCATGCCATCTGGCAATTGCTGTATGAATTACTTGGTTACCCAGAGTCTCTATTACCAAACTGTATTTACGTTCCCTTTGATATTTGAAGGATTGTAGTTGTGGGATTGTGTTCCCTTTGATATTTGAAGGATTGTAGGAACCGTTGCAGTGAGGAGCCCTTTCTTGGGGTGAGTCACACTTGAGGAGTATGTACTTGAGACGTGCATACCATGTCATCTCTGAAAGAGGCTGTGTCGAGATGAGTGAGTGTGCAAGTTGTTCTCTCTCTCTCACTATTCTTCTGGGAAATTTGTTTCACTTTCCTACTTAAAACTCGCTGCTATGCTGCTTCTCAGAAAGGGTGGTTGAAGATAGGGAGTTGGGGTGAGGCAGAAATGATTTTCTGTTCTATCTCCTTGTTAGAGAAGCTGATTTTGATATCAGGAGCCCTGAAAAATCAAGGTGATATGATGAATGTTTGAGTGCTAATGTTAGCTTGGTGGATGTTCTTAGCGTAACAGCTAGCACACAAAAATGACAACATTATATTTGATCCAAAGCATAAATTAGGACAGCATCTTCAAGAGTGTGTCCGGAGACAACACTAACGTAGAATGACTTTTTTTTTCCACATTTACATTTTAAAACCAATAAATTTTGCTTTTAAGGAAGGGGAATAGTGTAGGAGTGGTCATCTTCAGGTGCAGAAATGCAGAGAATTTAAATATAGAGTGACATTTCTCTGACTTGTGACTTTTCATATTTGACAAGGGTTTGGTAGGGTTATGACTTATGACTTTTGACTTATGACTTATGACTCTGACTTATGACTTTTCATATTTGACAAGGGAGGAGAGTAGAGGGTTTCTGCATGACTTCCAGGTGGTTTTCCCCAAGAAATCGAAATGTCCAAATGAAGATTGCTATCTTCAGAATAGTGACTGTTTGTTTGGCTACAGAAACTTGGAATGAAAAAACCTGGAATCTGCTGCTGCCCTGAGTGTTGTGGGTTTTTTTTCTAGATAGGCAGCAGCCAGCATTTGCTTGCTAAAAGAAAGTGCATCAGGCCTGTGCACAACAGATCCACTTGAGAAGTGTGTGTCAAGGGTGATTCAGCTTCTAAAGGAAAATTGAGGATAGAAAGGGAAACCATTCCTTGCCCAAGGTCAGTGAAGGTTCAGTGATGCAAGGGAGAATATTTGGCAGTAATTCTTTGTTACCCTGTTTCTGAGTTGCTAGTGGGAACTCTTCCAAAACAAATCTAGTCCAGTGGTCTAAATGGCTTATTTTGTAGTTTAGTTTCTGTGTTGCTGCCTTTGAGTTCGAGTTAATGAATTTCCTACTTCTGTCACAACAGACTTATTTAGAAGAAGACCAAAGAGTTCTACTAAAGTTTTCAGCAGCGAGACACTGCTACTCTCTGCTCAGTATGGCCCTGTTCACTTGACTGAATGGTAGAGGTAAAAGGAAATTGTTGGAAGGTTCTTAGTGATTTTCCTGCTCTAAGATAATGTTAAATAAATTTGAATTTATTTCAAAATGGTGATAGGAATCCTGGTTTGGACCTCTTTGGAGAAGAGAGGTAGACTTTGCTGTAAACAAGACAGTCAAAAGAAAGGAAGAGATCAAATAGAGGAGGTCATCAAATACAGCTGTCTCTGGGAGAAGGAGCTTGGGTTGAGTCCAGGACAGGAAAGCCTCCTCAGGCACATCTGTCCTTTCCAGTACTATCTTCAAAAGTCATAAGGAGGACAGGGGGACATCTTGGCTTTCCTGTAGGTGTTTTAGTGGAGACCATACAATCTCGTTGTAGTTCTAAGTGTTGTAAAGAAATAAACACTCTCTTTGCTGAAGATATAAAAATCATGACAATGGTGAAAACTCCTCAAGCAGTTGATCTTTCAGGGTAGTCAGAGATGATGGATAGCATCTTGATGCAGAGAAAGAAACTGGTTTTAGAGGAGGTGGGAAGCAGAGGTAAAAGCTTTTAATTATGTTCAGTGCACAGGCATAATCTAGACCTATACGCTTCTCTCAATTCTCAGTTAATCTGATGTCAATATAAGGCTTGTACAGCAACAGGAATTGATTTTTCTTTTTCTTGTTCCTTCAAAGCTCTTGTCATGATAATTATTTGTTCACTGTCTTTTCTCACATTCAGACATCACTTTGGGAAAATACAGTCTCCTTGAAGATCAGCACATTTGCTATTATTTCTGAACCTTTTCCATCCATTCACTGTTATTTTCAACCCTGCTTGTGTCCTTTCTTCAAACAGTAACTCCCATTTCACTTTTCATCTGTTTCCTTGCCTTCAGTTTCATCAGCTAAAAAAATTGCAGTAGAATGTTTTGTGCTGACACTTAAATGTCATCACCAATCTTTACATGGTTTACACTACCATAAAATGAATGGTACTGGTCATGGGGAGGCATGCTGCTTGGAAGCATGTCCAGGCTCAAGGCTTTTTAGCCTATTCTAAAAGTGAAATCTGTATCAACTAATCTTGAAAATACAAATGATATAAATCTTATATTTGGGACAACTGAAAGCATATAATATGTAAAATTTCTTAAATGTGGTTTTACATTTCGTGGTATCTAGGTATGTCATGCAGACCAGAAACCTGTCACATGGTCTGGACCTAGCTCATGGGTTCCTCCTGGATAAAGTGGTTCTAGACTCTTTAAGTTTTGCTGGATTTTGAGACCATCACTAGAATTGAACTGTCTGCCACGTCCTGGTTGAATGTCCCACCCATCAGGCTCTTGGCTTTTCTGGGATCAGGACACTGCACAGTGAAGTGTTCCTTTCCCTCTCCCGCAACCACTTCTAACAGTCTCTTTATATTAGTAAAGCGATTTTTTTTTTTTTCCTGTTTATCAAATAATCTTGTTTTCATATTATCTCAAGTTAAGGTCTCATGTTAATATCTGTACACTAAATACAAGTCCTAACTGTTCTTGCTTTACTGAAATACCTTCAGTGTAAATGGAGTGAGAACAGCATGAAGTCCCCTTAGGAATTTCAGCAGCTGTTTGGCCATGCAACTGATGCTAGAGGGAAGGACAAGAAAATGCCCTCTCCTAGAGGGTACAGGTGACTTGCTAGAAGATAGTTCACTATAAATGTGAGTTGGGGCCAACCCCATCTATCATGTTTATTTGTTTTTACTTTTTATTTGTCACAGAAAGTACTTAGTGCATTTTGATATGAAGCATGATTTGCTAGTGGGACCATACCTGCGTGCGATCTGAGTGTTTGTGAGAAGATGTCAATATGATGACCACATTCTGAAGTAGTGATTTCTGTAAGTGCTAAATGAATTCACACAGATCTTATAATACTGGAGGATCTAGCTTTTGTCTGTTGGTACACAGGAGTCCTCTTTCAGCTCCAGGTGGGTTTGTCAGAAGTGTGAGCATGTTGCAGCTATACTACAGACCTATTTCTATAGGTTCTACATGTACATGTTCAATTAATTCATGTTACAGAACCATTTTTGGTGCTTCTGTAGTGCTATCAGACATCACAATTTCATTTTACTTCCCTCCTTTTACTGTGTGCCTCCCTGAGACCTATGTTATTTTGACTTGTGAACATCCTGGGAGCCTGTACCTCTCATGGCAGCTCAGCTTCTTTCTGGAGTATTGACCTTCCCAGAATAAATTCATTAGTGGTCAGCATGGCCTCCATGGTTAGTTTTACCCCCCATCACCACTCTTTCAGAGCCATGTATAGATTATTAGACTATTTTCTTCCTGCTGGGAGCAATTTGGTTTTAATTTAAAATAAATGTTCTCTGTGAGAATTACAGTGCTTCTCAGCTCACTTTTTTTGTTCTTTTTAGAGTGCCTTTCTATACAGAAGTATGCTATGGGTGTAACTTGTTATAACCTCCATCCCTTTGGACAATTCCTTGCTCTAATGCCCTCAGCTTTTCCTTGTCATGGTGTGCCTGTTCTGCACCTGGGTGTCATCTGCATTAGGCAGTGATCCCACTGTTGTGGGACTGTTGCACCAAAAAGTCTTTGTTCAGTCTTGAGAAGGGAAGTCTTTCTTTCTTCCACAGTCACTCAGATAAATCTTTATCTTTGTTAGCAAAAAAATGTAATGGAAAGAACTGAGACAGCCAATACAGAGACTTCTGACTGTAGCTCTGAGTGTTTGGTGTTTTGTTGTAGCACTTCTGCATCTTTAGAGCATTGCTTTCTGTCTGAGGTATAAAGCTCAGAGGTATTAATTCATGCAGCTGGCTGGTACAGGGACAACACTTTTGGAGAACCTCAATACGAGTAATTTTCCCTTCCCAGACCTTATAAATCACATTTTTTAATGTAAACATGTGGATCTCATTTATATCATATTGCAGAACCTTAGTTTAACTGTAGGCAGAGCTTCCACATACACAGTGGTTATGTTTGATCATCCTTATTGCCTTCACTGAACTTTTTCAGTTCTGCTGTAGTAGAGGGTATTAAATGTAGGATTTATACAGTAGCATGGTGATGGTCTGTGCTTTGGCCTCTATTTCTTTCCAAATAATCCTGAGTGCTCTGTATACTTCTGTGGGTAAAGTTTCTTCTCTGATACAGAGCAATGAGACAGTAGCTCCATGGAACTTTCTACCATTGAGATCTTTCTCCTGGGTGGCAGTGATCTGTTTGGGGTCCATCAGTGCATATGGGAGGCTGGGATTGGCTCCCCTGTATGTTCTCCGCTTCACTTGCCATGTTGTTATTCAGTCTCTGGTTCTGTACCAATAACTTTGAGTCACCAGCAGTCTCACCTCACTGTTCATGCTGTTCTAGATCATGGATGAATACTGAATGGCACATGTCCCAGCACAGAGGCCTGCAGAACTGCACTGTAACCTCCTCCCTCCTACTGCAAGAATGGAAAGCTTACTCCTTCCTATTTTTAGCCAGATGTTTATCCATGTGAGGACTTTCTTAGGCCCTAACTGCTAATGGTTCATGTCACGGCTGCTTACCTCACCTATTATTGCAAGTATGTATTGTAAGACCACCTTAAAGAATGGAGTTTCATATTCTTTCATGTTTAACTGATACACTGTGGACTCACTGGTGAAAACACATCATAAATAATAACTTGATAAGAAAATCTTAAACTCTTCTATCTGGAGTATAATATATTATGGTTATTGGTCCCTAAATTGATCATTGCTGATAATAGATGAAATGTAATTCAATGTAGAGGTTCTGCTGGCATGGTGAATGAGTGACATTCCAATGTCAGCTCACCAGGACCTACAGATGAAGATTCCTGTGCACACTTTTAACACATGCATTTTATATAAGTTTGAATATACCTTCTTGTCTTGTCTGTATACTTTAAGACATGTATTTTATATATGTTTGGACACATGCATTTTATATATGTTTGAATGTACCTTCTTTTCTTGTCTGTATACTTTAAGATGTATTTTATAGATGTTTGAATACAGCTTATTTCTACATGTGACTTTTCTTACATTTCAGAAGTGTTTTGTACCTATGAAAAATGAGCAGAAACATTGCTATGCATCAGCAGTGCTATCCAAGTGCTGACATTATTTCACTGGAACACCTGGATTTCCTACAAGTTCTTACTACCTGGAAGAGCAATTTAATAGGTTTTTATGAATAAAGGCAAATGTTTATAAAATTTTCTGCTTACCAAATGGGCTTTTCTTTTCCTGGTATAACTCAGGTGTAATGTCTTTGCTGAGACCTCTTTTGCTGGATGTCATCCCAACTATTCAACAGACTGCTGCTTTGGCTCTTGGGAGACTTGCCAATTATAACGGTGACCTGGCAGAGGCAGTCGTGAAGGGAGACATTCTTCCACAGCTTGTGTGTTCATTGTCTGAGCAGAATGTAAGGCATCATTGTTTTCTTAAGTAATCTTTTTTTTCTTAACTGTTGCACAGGGAAAAGGAAATCTTTCTGTATCAGCTATTTGTTGTTATTCTAATATAGCAATAAATGTACTGAAGTCAGAGACAGCATGTGTGTTTGAACCCCTGAGAGATCAGTATATACTGTGTGCCTAAGTTTGACTTCAAATAAGCTTGACTTTATCATCTTACATTTTAGTGCACTATAGGTAATATATTTGTGACACTGTGATGTTTCTAAAACGTTGTGATGATTTATCCCCCTTTAAAAATGTGACAATTTGAAAGCTGTAGTGGTAATTGACTAGGATTTGTCGATAACACCAAACATTTGTAAAATACATATAAAAATCTGAACTTCTGTAAAGAAATATTTAATATCTCCAAAATTAACCTTTTAGAAATCTGTAGCATGAGAACTATCAAACCACTGACACAGGAAAATAGAGTGAAAGGTTTTTGTCTTAATATTTGTCAACAACAAAGACGGTGTAGTCGAAATTGCAATGCAAATAAATCTGGTGGTCACTTTTCCTCCCTTCTTGCCATTTTTCTTCAGGTTTTGTGTTTTGATTTTTCCAATGATCCTAACCTAGATTAAAAGAAATACTTTCAAATAAGTTTCCCAGTAACTAGAAAAAGAGACAGCTGAGAGTTAAGTGCATTGATACTGCGGTCATACTTAGGTTCAGTTTTGGCTTATTAGATTTAGGAGAAGTAGGATTTTGATGGAAATATAATTTGGAAAACTGTATATTTTCATTTTCAGTCTTTTGAGGAAAACAAATGTAAGTCCTCATTGTATATTTTTTGTGCGTATTGGGTCATTGCCTATACAATTAATCTTTAAAAAAAAAAACCCCTAAAAAAACTCCCTTGATGCCAAGATACTGGTGTAGTATGTAAAGAAAGTTAATGTTTTAGACAAGTTTATAACCATTTTGGTTATTTTATTTTTAAGGGAAGGAGGGGAACAAAACTCTTTATCCTCTATTTTGATTTGGAAACTACCCCCCTGCTACAACTCAAAGCCCTCTCTAAATTAGCTTGAGAGTACCCTGATTTATCTCTTCCATGTTACTGCCTGTGCTGTCGTTACATCGAGATGGCTGTAATTCAGAATCACTTGGGGCACCAGCAAGATTAGTGTGAGGTCATGGAAAGCCTACTATGCCTTGGTGACTGAGGGCAAGTGAAGGAAACTCATTATCCAGTTCATGCAGAGTTTAGCAATGCATGCAGTTGGTTATTTCCCATAGGCAAAAAACCCTACCCCAGATAAGTTTCCATTCCACTCCCTCTTCATGTATCAACATCTATATTTAAGGAGCAGACTCTTTGAGCATACAATAAATACTGATCCTGCTGATTTATGGAGAATAGTTACAGGGTCATATCGCAGATCAATGTTTTGTCAATTAAACTGAGCAAAATACACTTTTACAGTGTGTTCTGACTGTGTCTGTGAATATGGTTTGTTTGTAAATATATGTGTTTTGAGTAATAAATATAAAGTGTTTTTCTTTGGCAGGAGCATAATTACTTAGCAGAAATAGCATATCCATATTTGCACAGACATAGATTGGTATAAACAACTATAACTCCATTGAATTCATCAAAATGTATGGTAACTTATATTAGCTAGGGATTTGACCATTTGTACTGCTTCCCTTAACTTCTTTTCCCCCTAAATGATGTTTAATGTTTTGCTTGTATATTGTGTTTAATATACCTGCTTGTAGGCCTTAATTTAGAAGACTAGATTTTGGGATTAAGGAATTATATCGGTACTGGTAGACTAGGGAGGGTCAGAGCATGTGTTTAAGCACTGGAAGATGGCCATGCTCTTCAAACGTGAGCGGGCTCTCTGATGTGGGTTTAGCCAATGCCAACCATCAAACTACTTGGCCGTGCCTGGACATAGTTTAGGGCATAACACAAGGCAGGGACAGTTTCCAGTAGTGTAGATGAGGCTATTGTGCTGTGAGGGAAGAGGAGTTCAGGTGGATGCATGTGGTATGCTATGTCACTTTCCTTCAGGGCCAGGGAGCGGGTCTGGGTCCATTTTACTTCCTGTGGAGCTGTTGCGGATACTCCTCTGTTACCATACCTTAATGCTTTAGATCAGAATTTTGAAGGTGTTTGGGCACGTTACAGGATGCACATAAGCACTCACGTGGTTATTTGTTTCTCTGAACTTGATCCAAAAGGGATGTGGGCTTTGCACTGTTTAAGTTTTGGGTAACTTAACAGTAGGAATCTAGCACTGTAAAGTGCCCAGGCTCTCTATGCAGAGCAGGGGAGAATCAGGCATTTTGGAATGAGATTAAAGCCAGCTGGCACACGTAGAGAGAGCCCTCTAGAGCTTGTCCACATGGATGATCTAATGACTGCCAGGCCGGAGAGCATACTCCGGGCACATGGACAGAACAATAATTATTTGTGTCCCAATGAATCTTGCACTCCTTGCTGCACAGTGGCTTCAGGAGGGAGGGGAACTGCCTCATATCTTGGTTGCTTCTGGCCAGAGTACTTTAGCTGGGCTCTGGATTTTAAAACTAAGGCAGAGGAAGAAATTTAATGTTCAGCTTCCACATCCCAGTGATGGTTGTGAAACCACAGGAGACTGAAATGTGGCTTTTGGGGGGAAGACTTTAACTGTACTTTGAGAAGAAACTACAACCACCACTGAAGTTTACATGGAACCCCATAATGTGTACAACATCGTATGTTATATATATGCTCAAAACATGTACTTGGTCCAGCACTGAGGGAGATGGATAGAACTGAAACAAGTGCTTGGATTTTGCTTGAACTAATGACAGAGGTGCCAAGGTGCTTAGTCCTGTCGAAAGTGAGCTGTTTCTGGACACATGCTGAAGTAAAATTGCAGGCTGCCTGCTCAAAACCAAGGATCATCCAGTGTTGGGTGTTTGGTGGGATGGACTTTCATGATCTTAACTGTGGGCTTAGGCAGTATCTAGGCATTTCAGGATTCAGATCCTAAACCCTTTTGTTGGATCTAATTCTGTCTCGGTTTCCTTTTTGTAAAAGTAAACAGTGTTTTCTCATAGAGATGTGAGAGGATATAAATTAGAAATGGTGAAACTTTGCAAGTGTCATGGATGGGTAGAATTATTTTAGGAGCTTGCCCTGCATAACCTGTGTAATCTGGTTAAATATGTTAAGAGCTATTGTTTTTGCAGCTCTTATCATTCACTACTCACTTAAACAAACAGACTTATCTAGACTATTATCTTTTCCCCATATCCTTTTAGCCCTCATTTTTTCTGTTTGTTTATGCACTTACTGCAAATTTTAGATCATGAGCTGTCTCAAAGCAAGATTGTAGGTTCATTGTTTGTGTGATTTCTGGTGGTCCTGATTTGGATCTGTATGAGTTATTGCTACTACTAAAAAGTCTAAATTATTCATGTCTGTACTGTATTGTGCTTTAAACTACTTGATGTTAGTAAAAGTTTTTTCTTTTTCTAATTTGTGTAGCGTTTCTACAAGAAGGCAGCTGCATTTGTGCTAAGAGCAGTTGGTAAACATTCTCCACAGCTAGCTCAGGCAGTAGTTCAGTGTGGAGCACTGGAAATGCTTGTGATTTGCTTGGAAGATTTTGACCCTGGAGTCAAAGAAGCTGCATCTTGGGCACTTGGGTATATTGCTCGACACAATTCAGGTAACAGGTTTTACATGTGTTATCTTTCAGCTTAATGCTATGTAAGAATTATAATAAATTGCATTATTGTAACGTTCACAAGTAGACATAAGTAGAGCAAGATACTTTTTCTTTTCTAGTGTTATAACATTATACATTTGTAATAAAAACCTATTCTAACTACCTGACAATGCTGTACCTTTTGTGGGAAACTGGCATATCTGACACCAGGGATGCCCAGTTATGAGAGGTGCTCTAAGAGGAGTTGCACTGGGCCTCTGGCCAGGAAATTACACTCTGCTTTATTCTCCTTCATGAAGAATTTTCAGAATCTTTATGTATTGTGTAACTGTTACTGTGGAACAAAGTTTCTTTTGCTCGACACTAGTTCTTTTATCTACATAGTAAAATGGAGAAGCCTAGGTAGAACCAAGTTTCATTGGGCTTACAGCAGTGCCTCCAGGATAAACATGCCAAATTCATTGTGCTGACTATACTATCGTTAGCCAGTAGACCACACTCTTCTCTGAGTCAGGAATAGATCCTAGGAATCCGATGTTGAGCAGTTCACTGCTGTCTCACAAGCAGTTGTATAACTCCCTGGCAGTGTCATGTTCCTATTTAAAAGCTGATCCATGTGGTTGATAATTCTTTTACTGGCTATTTATATAGTTCATGTAAAAGTTTAGAGCTATGAATCAAAGAACTGAGGGAAGAAACTGCGGGCTGGAAAGGGTGGGAGAAATGGCTTGTGTTCATATTGTTTAAACTTATTTTAGGATCATAACATTAACTTAGGAATTAGTTTGATTTGGGCTCTAAATGTACTTAAGACTGAATTTGGAAGTGATTTTCTTCTTTCTTTTTTTAATTGATATGGAGTGTTGGACTGCAGAAGACATGGGGGATTTTCCCTTCGCATTTAGAGAGAGGGTTACCTTACTGGGATGAACTCCAAAGTTGTCAACACCTTCCTAATAGACTGCTTTTTCTGGGGAACAATTTACTTCTTGGGGCACCTCTGTGGTAAAGATCTTTTATCTTTCGGTTACTGGGTCTGAATCCCACCCTTGGTGGAAAATAATCATTGTTTCCATCTAAGAGATATTTGTTTAAGTGTCATTTGGAAGTGTTCATTTGTATAAATGTGTGGAGTGTAAGTGTGTGTCTGTGTTACTCTTAACATAAACATTTCTGTAGTTTTGTTATGTCAGCAAATCAATATTGACTCACTTCAGTTACCCTTCATGCTATTCACTGCATGAATGCTGGCAGATCTTTAGGGTGATCCAGTTCACTCTGGGATAGCATTGTCTGCAAAGATGGATGTGATGTGGGGGTATTAAAGACAACAAACTCCTTGTATAAATTTTTATTCCATAGTTACAAATTACTTATTCACTGACAGTGAATGGTACCTGTCTCATCTCAATTTATGCCAGCAGTAAGAACAGCATTTTCAGAAATTGGGCTGAAATTATGAGTGTTACCAAGCTGTAAGCATAAGGACATAGATCACTAGATGTAAACAGTTAAATAAAACCCCACAACCCCAAAACAAAACAAAAAGCTGAAAAAAATTGTTCTTCCTCTGCCCAGCTACGGCCAGTTTGGGGGATTTTACCTTCCTCTATAACAGAGTCACAGGAAGTCTCTAAAATTACTTAAGAAAGTACTTAAGAAAGATCACTTTGTGCATGGAATGTTTCTTACACTCCTACAAGCATGCCTTTGCAACAGGATATTGTTGGAGATGGGATACAAAGATAGATGGACCTGTTTTTATCAACATCTGGTGTTTACTGTTCAAGAAACTCTGGATTAGACCCACATGTTTGTGTTGCCAAAATAACAGTTATGATTCTCTGTCATTGGCTGTCTGTGGACATGTATTGCAGCTTAAACTCTAAAAATAGAATTGGGTGTGAAATGGTTTTCCCCACCCACGAAAGGTTTTTTCAGTTTCAAAAATTGTTTCAGTTACAAACTGGGACAACATTAAGACAAGATTTTTTTCTCTCCTGAAAAGACTGTGGAGCTAGGGAGGCTTATTTGCCCCTGCAAGAAAAGTTCAGTAATTAGGGCATATGTCTGGGATGTATGTGGGAGACAGATTAAAGTCCTGATCTGTCATAGGCAGGATGTGAACCTCTGTCTCCCTGAATGCAGGCAAAGGCTCCTGGCATTTGGCAATAACTGTTTGCAATGGGAGGGTCTCTCTGCTTTTAATCAGAAATTCCATCCATGACCTGGTAAAGTTGCTCTCTAGGAAGTGTTCCCATGAAAAGACTTCCATTCTGAGAAGTGAAGAGTTCTTTTTTTGTTTTGTTTTGTTGTTGTTTGTTGTTTGTTTTTTTTTTTTTCCTGATGAGAACATATTCTCATTAGCCTGTTCCCTACTATCTTCATAGAACAGTCTCTTAAAATGCAGTTCTTGTGTGGACAGTTGCCTCCAGAAGGCCTCTGAGATTTTAGGTTAAGACAGATGTCTCATGAGATTTCAAGATACTAGAGATCTTGCCAGGTTGGATTCCAAAATTTTGGAACACGACTTGCAGTTCAGCTCTTTATTGGAAGATCCTTTTGAGTTGAATTTCAGATGCTGATCTTACTCCAAAGTATACAGATCAGTGTGCTGTAATTTTGCCATTCATTACACTTTTTTCCAAACATAAATAGTAGAAATGAAGTGTTTCAAATATCATTAAAATACTATCAGGTCCATGAAGGGTATTTTGTAGATTTTTACTTATACCATATTCAGTTACTTTTAAAATGTAAAATTCTTATGTTTGAGGTATGCAAGTAACTTAGATTTACATTTGCTTTGCCTATTTAAAAGGTGTGATTTATTAATAATCTCTTACCTGCTTCAGCATATTGTAAATTAGTAGGAAAACAAAAATAAACAACACTCTATACTCAAGCATATTGCTGAGAGTGAAATTATGCTTATTTTCTGTCATACAGTGGTACCATTAGGGTCATAGGATAGCTCAGCTTGGAAGGGACCTTGGGAAGTCTCTAGTCCAGCTTCCTGCTCAAAGCAGGGTCAATGACAATGTTAGATCAGGTTGCTCAGCTCTTCAGGGATTTGAGTCTAGCAGTAACTTTGTCTTATTTCAAGATCTAAACTTTCTTTATAATTAGTGACCTCCATCCTTCTCCTGATGAAAGTTTTCCAGCTGATTCCAGTGGAATCTTTAGCACTGTGGTTGTAGCGGTCTGCATAAACCTGTGATTTTGAAGTGCAGTCTTTGGACTACTTGTGGGGATTAGAGCCTTTCTATGTGGCCATTACATGATCATGCAGTCCTTAGAAAAATACAGTATTGGTGGTTGTTTTGGTCAAAATCTGTTATTTCCTGTGGATACATCTGCCAGCATAGCAGGGTCTGTTTGAGAACCCTGCTCTGGACTGAAACTTTCATTTGCTTCAAAGCAAAGAAGGTTTTGCTGCTGCTCCACTATGTGAATATGGCATTTGTTCAGAGCTGATTTTCCTTCTCTGGGGACTACCTGCACATTCACTTTCCAACCTTCATATATTCTATCTTTTCTCCTTAATCTTTTTTATCCATACTATTATTGCCAACGCGTTAACGTTAGTATGTTTTTTGGTTTCGGGCGTTTTTTGGTAACACTTTAAACCGGTTTAGATCAATCCTGTAAGACTTCCCATTGATTTCAGTGGGTATATAGTCAGGATCTTATTGACTCCTCCTCGTTCACTTTCACATAAATCCATGACTAAGGCCTCAACTTACTTTGAATTAATTTCTTAGTCCCTGATGAGTACTTTTGTATTGAGATTGAGATAAATTGGTACAACTCTAGTACAGCTTCTGGTTGAATGGGTGACATCTTAAACTCTAAAGTCTTTCTTTATCTGTGTGTCTTCTACCTCCACGTCAGTCTGTCTTCATATCTGTGGTATCTCCATTTGCTAAAATCTTCCTCATATTGTTCTGGACAAAACCAACTAATTTATGATGGGCTTTAAGTCTTAGTTCTCTTGTCTCTGAGCAGATATAGAATAACATTTCCTACTTTCACTCACGGAGGGAAAAGTCCAACTTTATCATTATGTAGTTGGACAGGTTCCTTAAGCTATACCCCAAACTAAAGTTCCAAGCCCAGGGTTTTTGTAACTTTCTGTGGAATTAGAGGTTAATTAGTTTCTCTCTGCTGTGTTTCTCCTCTTCAGCTATTGGTCTTGTCTTTGCCCTCATAGTGTAATCTTGGCGTAGTGTTCAGAAAAGACTTTTTCTAACTTGTTCCGTTTTTTTTTATTTAACTGCATATGTTTTCAAAAATTTCTTGACAACTGTATTTTCTCCTTTAACTCTTCCTCAGCATTCTTTTTTTTTTTTTTTTTTTTTTTTTTTTGGTGTATAGTCTGAATTAAAAGTGTTCTACCAAGTGGGCCTCTTTCTGAGGAAAAAGTATTACAATTATCATAGAATAATTAATACTTAGAGTCATAGTTTTGAGCTGAGTTTGCAGGGCAATGTGGTGGGAAGATGCTGTTTTTCTGACAGTCTGTTTACCGCTTGTCAGTCTTCTGACACATGGTCCAGCCCTCCATGTGGTAAGTTACTAGCTATGAACCTTAAACACCACTGGCAGAACAGCCATTTAATTAACTGTGACCAACAGTAGCCATCAGTATTGAAATGATATCAGACTTCTAACAGCAAGAGCTGATCTAAATTGAATCAGATTTAGTTTGCTCCTTTAAAATAACTTTTATGGTTACTTTTGCATGTCTGGGCATAGCTGTGACCTTAAAGTATTGCTCTTTCCCTGCTTGAACTTCATGATTTCAGCTCATAAGGCATCAAATAAACTATTCTTCTAGTAGTATCCTGTCCCTCTTGACATGATTTTCCTGATACTGGCATCTCCTAGCAGACTGTAGGCAGTTCAGTTGGTTGCTCTAAATTTGCTTCTGAGGCAGTCGGATGCATTAATCTGGATTGTTGGTTCACGACGTATTCCACTTGGTCAGTGTACAGCATCAAAATACAGTTGAAAGAAATCACATATGGCTTTTTCCATGAAAAGCTGACTGTAGCTTATATATCATATTGATTAGCTAGTTTTCAGGTTTGTTTTGAGATACTTTTCAGGTACATTTAATTTCAGATTTGTAAAACTGAAGATATAGCATTTGGGTTTTGTTGAGATTTATGTGTATTTAGAGGATGCACACTCTACCTTTTCAGTCAAATAATTACTTGAAGAGTGAACTCTGAGGGGTTAATTTAGTATTAGTTTTAAATTACTGCATTATTATTTTGTAAGGTAATATAATTTCTTTAAAATATTATATCATAAAATGACATGCAGTGTAAATATTTGACTTATCACATGTATTGGAGTTTGTGACTATAACTTACTAATTGAAAACAAATCTGTTCAGGAATACTATTTGGATATTAACATCGTAATGATGACATGACTTACAAATTTATGAAAAACTATATTGGTCTATGTATATTTAATGAAGTATGCTATATTTTTCTTAGTATGAAAATCTCTTTATGGATGGACTATAAATCAAAAGCTAAGTTAGAGTCTTGAAATACAACAGCCATATGTTGCCATGGTACTGTAAGTCAAGATAAATGTTAAAGATAATAATGGATATGCATAATAAGGTGTAGCAAAACTGAGCTAAGAACCTAATAGATTATTGAATCCCCCATGATTTTTACCACTTTTTCAGCACTATTTTAAAATAGCACAACTTGGTTATAGTATGAATTTTGCTTCTGATATCCAGTAATTCTTATTTTAGAGCTGTGATTAATGCTGCATACACAGAGAGAGCTAATGAATTTCTAATAGTGTAATTTTTGTCCATGTCAGCTAATCATATGCTCAGATTTTTTTTTTTTTTTCCTTTTTTATTTAAGGTGCAGTTAGTTAAGGGTATTGTACTAATCTCAGACACACAATATCCCACTGATGATATTTCTCATTTGTCTAATTGTGTATGATAACATTTTCATGTCATTAAAGTATAAATTCTGTCTTGTCCTATGTATGGTAGCAAAGCCTAGTTTTGATCGGCAAGTTCCATTTTTCCAATCTTTTATGTATGTTTTTTGTATTTCTGTTTTTGGCATTTGATCTATGCTAATATCTGCTTATCATTTAAAGAGGGTAAAATGCTCTCTAATTAGGTGGTTGGTAAAATTTTGGTACTTTGGCTTTCTGTGTTGTTGTTAGCCATGCATAAAATGCTTTCCTATTGATCAGTGTAGAATAGCCAGGGTTTAAACAGCTGACATCTGCTTACTTTAAAAAAAGAAAAAGAAAACAGAATAACAAACCATTTCAGCCTAATCTACCTCAAATGTGTGCATGTAAATGGGGGTCCATCTATTGACCTGCATTCTTTTCAGTTGTGGATTGGTCCACACGGTTTATGAAACCAGGAGGGCTGATTTGAAATGCAGATGTCGAGACAGTGAACTACACCCTCCCCTTTTTCCTTTGCTGTATCTGTCAGGGTGAAAAATGGCTTGCACAAGGGTCAGTCACCCATACTCACTTAATTACTTTCCTTGGACCTACAGAACTGTCACAAGCTGTGGTGGATGCAGGCGCTGTTCCTCTTTTAGTGCTCTGTATCCAGGAGCCAGAAATTGCTTTGAAAAGGATTGCTGCTTCAACTCTCAGTGATATTTCAAAGCATTCTCCAGAGTTAGCACAGACAGTAGTGGATGCAGGAGCTATTGCTCACTTAGCTCAGATGATCCTGAACCCTGATGCTAAACTGAAGGTACATTTAAAAATTATTTTTTTTAATCTCCATTATACCAATCATTACTTGATATTGAATCGAAGACACCGATGTGCGTATTTATTTATGAAGCTCTTGTTTTGGGCATTAACAAAATGTAACTACATAGTTAGTGACAAAGAGTTCTGAACATATTCACAGATTTAGCTACTGGATAAAAACTGCTGCTCTGTGAGGAACAGCTAAACTAATCTTTAAAGTGAATAGTATGATTTTTTTTTTAAGAATTATGTCGTATATGAAGAATGCAACAGATATTTTTAATAGATAATATTTGCACAGTTGAGTTCCAAAAAAGGTTTTGCATACTTAAGATTATACTATAAACAAGTTAATATTAAATGTATTATTGCATTTTAGAATGTAGTATTTGATGTGAATAGCTGTCACTGAAGGTTTAATCACTAGTTTAATTGACAAAATTACTTCTTTATAATTTTTCTTACTCTAACAGAAACAGAAGACAACATAAAAATATCACTTCAAACAAAAAGATAAAAAATCTTTAATATAAGGTCTGACAGACCAAACATGCAAATAAAGATACTTTCTATAGATTTCACTAAATTTCAAATTATAGTTTTAAATTATATATATATATATATATATATATATCCTTTTTTAATACGCAGCAAGCTTGAATGGGATGAAACAAAGGAGAAACTTTTATTCAGGAACCAGCGAATGTTCTGTGCCATTATATTCCTGCATGAATTGACTCAGTGAATTGTAAAATAGCTGTAATTGTTTTCCCTATCCTGCTTTGTTTTCCTTGATGCAATAGATTTTTTTGTGCAGGAGGAGTGTGTGTTGTGGGATGTTTGTATACTATTGATTTTATAACAATTTTTATTTACTAGCGTCAGGTGCTGTCAGCTCTAAGCCAAATAGCAAAGCATTCAGTGGATCTTGCAGAGTTGGTGGTTGAAGCAGAAATTTTCCCAGTTGTGCTCACATGCCTGAAGGACTCAGATGAATATGTCAAGAAAAATGGTGCAACTTTAATTAGAGAGATAGCAAAGCATACGCCTGAGGTAAAACCTTGAAAATGCAAATGCAAGGTCATATCATTAGATTTTACACTTTAAATAAAATACAGGATTATTCTGTCATTTGCTTTTCGAAAGGGAGGGCAAATAGCTGTTTGGCATGTTCATTGGAAAAATATGGAAATGCTTGCTGATATTAAGAGATGTGTATTGAATATGAATTGGGTGAGGAAACTGGGAATCATATCATGTATACCTAGCTACTTCATTCCATAAGATATCTGCACAGAGAGGGAGTTTTAGGCTGACAGTATTGTCAGTCCTAGATATTAAAAATATCATGAGAAAAGCCTCACAGAAGTCATGATAGCAGCTAATAAATGACAGCATCATCCTATAACAATAATAGATGGTGTGTGTGTTTTTAAAAAAATCTTCTGGAGTGCTGGGATCACATTTTAATTATTTTTCCAATGACAATGAAGGTTAAAAATTCTCTTACTTATTATTAAACTGATGGTAGTTTCTTTTATTAGCTTGAGTTTGTAACTTGAGTCTCAGCATTTGCAGTGGTTTTGCCAATAATTGGTACAAGAAGGTGGGGATGTTTGGCAAAGTCAAGACAAAATGAGTAGGAAAACTAAATAATTATGTTAATCTGTCAGATCATAGAGATAATTAACAGGCTTTAAATATGACTCTGAAATTAAATGTAAGCAATGTGTTTGTGGAATGCAGTAATGCTGAGTGCAGCCATTTCAAAATCATACTAGTTTCACAACTGAGAAGTGTTTAAACATGAATATTGTGCAGTTTCTTCAGCCTGCTAGTCTTTAAGCTGTTGGTGATTAAAAGTTGCAGTCTTGTGCAGAGAGAAAGAGAAAATGTGACCTCATGAGCAATGCAACTTAACTTTCTCAAAAAAAGTGAAGAAATCATTATCAAAGGGGAGGACTAGAATCAGAAGCCAGAGGCCAAACTCACAAGACTGAAGGTAAAGTTGGAAGAGCTGCTAGCACAGGACCTCCATGCAAGGGAAATTGACCATTCTAACAGCTCTCCAAAGGAGCTGGAGGATGTACCTTGGTGACTCCCAGTGGGAAGGCACAGTCACGTTCGACTTGAGTGACAGTGATCTCCGTCCATCTCTGAGCAACTCTATTCAAGCAACACATGTTGCAGCAGAGACAGATTGGCAAATGATATTGCTAGAGGAGCTGGCTGTGTCAGTCATGTGAGCATTGTGGCTTTTGGACCTCAGCTCTCTGTCTGCATATGCAATAAAATGCTTGTGAGGGTCAGGATCTGGGGGACTCACAGCAGGACTTGAGGGTCACAGCCATAGCACCAAGCGAGTGTGTCTGTGCAGCAGGTCTGTGTGTCCAAGTGCACATAGCTGTGCCCAGACATCGGACTTGGTCGTCACTGGCTGCAGTTCATAATCATGTAAACAGTTTTTCCTAAGCAATAACTTTAAATTTTATCTAGCTGTTTCATGAATAGAACAACCCCCTTTTAAAGGCTCTAAGGCAAATGTGGATTTCATGTTTACAGAAATCAACTGGATTGGAAATCCACATGCCTCAGTTTTGTTCATTTGATTTTGACTTTTAAGAACATGTTTCTTTTGCTTCGGAATCTTTGGGAAAAATGGGATATACTTAAAAAGATAGAAGAAAATAATCATGATATGAAATTATTTCAATTTCTCTGCATTGCTGAGATCATACATACTCTACTGCTGTCCCTCAAGTGATCTGAGAAGTGGTACCTTTTGAAAAGAAGTATGTGACATAGCTTGATTATCATTTATAAACAAGGCTATATAATTTGGCATCCTGGGGCAAAACACACTCATCAAGTATGTTCCCTGAACACCTCTCTTGGAGTACCCTAACATGGCAGAATGATGTAGTCCAAGTCAGTTTTGCACATCTATGACAGTTGTCTTTGGCTTCATGCCTCAGTGGGTGGATCCACAAAGGCTTTTACAGTGCAGAGGTCATCTAGAATGCAGGTGAGAGGAGGTCTTGCCCTCAGTCCCTGCATAGAACATGTGATGTTGTCTTGGGAATGAGTGAGCCCTAGTATGAAAGAATATCTTGCTCATTAGGTGTGTCTTCAACGGCATTCATGTATTGGGCTGTTGTTTGCACGCTTCTTTGGTGTATACTAATGGAGAGTGTGTCACTCCAAGCTATACAGCATCAAGAATTCAGAGTCACAATTTCCTTGCAACAAAGTCAGTCAAAAACAGGGTAGCAAAACAGCGTCATTTGTGAGAATTTGATGCTGCATTTAGTGCCCAACAGTCTATATGATACATCATTCTTATTCCAGCTTTATTTTGTAAATCAGGAGCAATAAATTTAAAGACTTTTCTAATGTAGTGCTTTATGCCTGTTGATACTCCACAGTATCTAATCTCTTCCGTTTATCTTTTCAGCTTTCACAGTTTATAGTAAATGCAGGTGGAGTTGCTGCTGTGATTGATTGTATTGGCAGCTGCAGAGGGACTGTCAGACTGCCTGGCATCATGATGCTTGGTTATGTAGCAGCTCATTCGGAGAACCTGTCAATGGCAGTGATTGTCTCCAAGGTTAGCTATCACTTTGTCGTCTTCCTATAATTCTTCAGTGGTATTCTGAGAAAGAGATACAAATTACCATAGGCAGAGAATGTATTTTGTGACAGAATTATATACTTGCTGTTGACAAATACACTTTCTCCAAATATTGCTGCTTGCTATGGCTGAAATTATGTGATAACCTGATCAGTGTGTCTTTATGAAGTTGAACCTTTTATAAAATGTCCTGGATTAGTTTGAGAGCATGCATTTGTATTACAGTACGTGATTTTTCTGTTGCAATTGCATGGGTACAAAAAATAAGTCAGTGAATATCTGTGGTCTGTTTCCTCTTAAAATGAGTATTTGTGGCTACATCAAAACCCTTTTTGAAACAAGAATATTTAATGGCACGTTCGTCGTTGCACTAGCATGACTCTGTTAGTACCACTAGAGTAGTCTTGCAACAGAATTCTTCAGACTTGACCCTAGTTTCTAATGTAGTAGTATTGTTTGATTCAGTTGCACAAGTGACATTTCAAATGAGATAAGCTATACATTTTCAGGTTTAAATAAATTCTGCTATAGAAGGGAGAGAATTTGCAATATTCACAGTAGGGGAAATTAGTGCCTGACATAATATTCTGATATAAATAATGCTAACTAATGACAGGAGGAAGGAAGTAATTTCACTGAACATTGTTGGCCCATTTTCATACTATGTCAGTCATTTAAAATACACTGTATGAGTGGAAACAACAAAAACAGAGGCATTCTAGTAGGAATGCAAGTTAAAAACTGAAAATTGCTACAGCATAACATCAGTAAGTATGCAAGGAAGGTAGGAGTGAGCAAAAAAAATGCCCCCCTGCATTTGAAAACTGAAGAAATAGACACTTTTCCCTTGCCCTCTCTGGAGGTCTTTCTTCTCTGGGTGTGTCTTTGTCTCTACTTTCAGGGATGCTTAGAGCAAATAGGCTTCTGCTGTTGAGTGCTTGACGTTGAACGGGATGAATCCAGGATTAAGTTCATGAGGAAGCACCTAAGTGATACATCTTTGAAGACTAATAATGGTTGCTACCATAACTGAATGGGAGTGCAGTGAGAGATTTTGTAGGGATCTGTGCAAATTCTCATGTAATTAAATATTTTGAAGAATGATCCACAGAAGAAACCCAAAGCCCATTATAAAAAAAAAACATTGCTTCAGGGGAAACTAAGCTTGTGGGGTGGCACACAGTACTCAGTACAGGGCTTGGTAAACTGGAACCATTTGAAAGAAACACACTGTAGTATAAACACATGCAGTTATGCATTTATGATGTTATGTTATAAAGTGTTAGCTCCATTCTGTGGTACTGTGTCCTGGCAAGGATGAATTTTGAAAGATGATTTTTGGGGTCATACTGGACAAGCACTTCACTGTGGTCTTCTGCTGTGGTGCAGTGGGCAAAAAAAAGACAATACTGCAAAAGAACTTTGCGGTATTAAAGAATGGAAGATGAAGCGTTATTGGAAGACAGAAGTTAATGTATGTGTACTATTAGGCATATAGTTCTGTTGTCTGTATTTGAAAAGGATCTTGAAAAAACCCCAAGAGTGTGCAGAAAAGACTGAAAAATGATCCGTGGGATGGAGAAAAATGTTTTCTAGTTGGTACTAGCCTTGCCTTACCTAAAGTAGCATGAAATGATTCCTATTGAAGTATCCTGGCATAAAATACCAGCTACTAAGTAGCTCCATAATTCTGTGGAGAAAAGATAAAGACTGTGACCCTGAACCAGAACAACTTCAATAGCAGTTCTATGCAAGTTAGGTATTCTCCATCTCTTGATGTCTTCAAATCAAGAGTTGAAAGCTTTCTGGTAGTGATTGGATGAGTCATACATTAATTACTGGACTCACGAAGAGGATGAGCAGTTGAAATTTAGTGCTGTGGACTTACAAAAACCCCCAAAACCCAAACGACTCAGTGATTGAGCCTTTCTGGTCTTGAACTGCTTTCATAGATTTGTAAACACTTTTATTCTTTTATTTTCAGTCTGACAAAACTGAAGACTTTACCCTTTAGAAGAGCCTGAATTGTGTCGTGTATTCCTTTTATCCCTTAAATTTCTGTGTTAGCTCAAACTGCCTTCTGACTTAAAACATCGAATCTGTTTCTCTCTTTTAATGTTAATAACTCTAGTTAAAATTCTTGCTAGTCATGACGTTGTAAGAATATGACACCACTAGCATGCGTTCTCTTATAGCTTATTTAGAAGAGTGTAAATAGAGAAACATTTTCTAACAATCTCTATCAGTTTCAAGTTGTCCTTCGCTGGTATAGACTTGTAAAGGTTGTGCTTCTGATTAATGCTACAGGGAATACCACCACTGTGTGCCTGCTTGATAGAAGAACATGAAGATCATATTAAGGCAGCAGCTGCTTGGGCCTTGGGACAGGTTGGAAGACATACTCCTGCGCATGCACGTGCTGTTGCAGTAGCAGACGTGCTACCCACACTGCTTGCTATATATATGGACACACGCGGTTCAGAAGATCTTCAAATGAAAGCAAGTATATTGGTAGTATTGTGGTATGAGATGTTTATTGTTTTTAAGTACTTATACCTGTTGATTACTACTAAATGGCATGTACTTATATTGATGTTCATAGAGTCACAGATTTCCTGGGTGTAGGGTGTCAAAAGGCTGTGTGTCATTTATTAGGACTGGCTGGCCCTAATGGGTGTGCATATGGTGCATACCAAATCATATGGTACAGCCACAGCAGTCTAGTCCCTCATTTTCTCCCCAGTTTAGATCAGTTGCATACACCCATAAATGCTATAATTTCTTGTGACTAATTTCTAATTTTCTACTTTTTCTAAAAGCATAAGCTCTTGTACAGAATATTATAGTCTTTGTAGTAGATTTGCTTACATTTATATTATTATAATAAAACTGTAACAAATACTTAAAGCTTTGCTCTTGAAAACATGCAGCTGTTCATGTTTAGGGCCTTCCTTGTGTGGGAGCTAGTAGAGTTGCAGTTTGGTAAAGTGTATTTTTGATGGTCAGAAAGTGAACCAACTGAAGAAAGTAATATGACAGTGATGGTCTCCCACTGTTGTACTGTGCTTCTGTTAATTCCACTGAAGTATAATGTTCCATATCTGTAAAACAGCTTTTGTACAGTTATTTTCAGTGGTCACCAAAATATCAAGGCTAAATTAACTGTACCTATAATCCCACCCAAGAAGGTCATTACTGATTGTAGCAGTCAACATTTGAGTCTGTTTTCAGAAACTGAGCTCTGATATACAACTGTTTCATTCTCTTTCCCTCCCTGCCTGGACAGCAGTACATTTTGCTGTCCCAGACCAGCAGACTCTCCTAGTAAGCCACTTCTAAAATACAATCTTTTAAAATGTGTTTTGCTTTATCTTTCTTATTATATTACAGTACTTCAATTTACTTAAAGGGTCTACTCCTGCTTCTGTTGTAGTCAAAGGAAAATTGCCATTACTTTGACTGTAGATAACATAATAAGAATATGATGCACCGTAGGTTTTGAGGTTTAATAAATCTAAGTAGAAAATTGATTCTTTATTAAGTGACCTGATAGCTACCATACTTTTTATTAGAATGTGTTCTTGGAGAATTCTGATCAGTTTGCTTTTTTGATCAGACTTCAGTGATATATAACATGAATTCTTGTTGTTTTCATTGATGTCTTACCAGAGAAATTTTATTTTGCATTTCAATAGACTAAAAAAGCCTTAAAGAACATCCTTCAGAAATGCACATATCTTCCAGCGCTTGAACCATTGCTGCATGATGCCCCTCCCAATATTATGAAACATATTGTTGGGCAGTTTAGTAAGGTAAGAAAAGGCTCTGCTTCATGAGTAACATGTTGTTTTCCATTTAGCCAGGAAGCTATCTTTCCAAAGATGAAGTGTCTCTAAAGGTCCCAGTTGTTTTCTCAGGATCCTCAAGCATCCACTGCAGAAGCAGTTTAGAGCATCCCGTTCTTTTGTTTGATAAAACTGGATAGTGTTTCATCTGGAACCTGCCATAATTCATCCTAAGACTGGGAAAACAGTTGCTTATAAGCAAGGTGTTTTTTTCTTCCTTGCCTCTTGCGATTAAGTGGAATATTAACCCATGTGCAAATATTTTCACTGAGTCAGTGTATCACATAAATCCCAGTCACATCTGTTTTAGATAAAGTACAAGCTGTCTGTACAGGATTGACTTAAGCGAGGTATTTACAATAATCTAGAGTATAAAGGCTTCACCACTTTTGTCCTCATTAATTTTCAGTCTCAGTTAGGGAAGTATAAAAATCCCAAATATTTTCTCATCGCTCTCAAAATTTGCAACTGTTTATTGTTAATTACATTGTTGATTTGAGTGCAGCATGTAAAAAGTGATACAATTTAGTCAAAATATTTCTTAAGTAACTGATAACTAATCAGGAGATTTCCAGTGTCTGCAGTGTTCACCAGCTGTTGGGAATCCTGCTCAACTACGGACTATCTTTTGTGCAGCACTCTGCAGTGTAATCTGTTAGCAGGGGGTACCAGGCTCTCTTGGTGAGATGTTCTTTCTGGAAATGGCCAAGTAAAACACTCTTTATATTCAGTTCTGATTATCACAGATCTGGAAGCACTACTGTTTCTAGTGCAGATTCATTATTACATTGCAACACTTAGGTTTGTCCAGTCTTCATGATAAATCTGTACAAAGATGGGAGATTTGCACAGAATCCAGTGCCTTTTGCTTCTGTGTGCTGACTGGAGCTATTAATGAGTTAAGTGTATAGTAATTGGTTACTGAGTGTATAGATTTGAATGTTTGCTGTTGAAGTGGTTTTGTACCCTTCATATCAGATGATGTTTTGTTTTTCTTCTTCTCCTACATTGTATTAAACAAACTATACTTGTCTGGCATTTGCTCTTCTGAAGTATACATTTAAAATTAAGTTTGCTGCAGTAAAAGCATTTTTCCCTCCTGTACCATAGCTTGGGAATTTCCTATTCTTAGAGCTGTGGTGTATCACTACTGCAGGCTTATTTATAGCACAGTAAAAGCCTTACTTCCAAGCTGTACTTCAGACTGGGATACTATCCATTCTTGGTGCTGGACTGTGTCATTTTAACACTATTGTTTTCAGGGTCCATGCAATTATGTGCTGTCTCAGTTTGGACTGAGGGAAGGGGCTGTGTCTCAGAGGTGCTGTCTGGCTTTAGGGCCTCTTCCAAGAGAGTTTTCTGCTGTCTTACCCAGCCTGGAAGTCACACTGTGGAAGAGGAGGGCAGGGAAGGGGCCATATCCTGTCTCCTTGCTAGTTCCTCCTTGGCAGTTCTTCTTGTGGGAGATACATGGAAATAGCCGTTGTTTCAGCTCTTACAGTGAAACAATCACAGTTATTCCTGATGCTTCTATGGAGCATATAATAGCAAGAAGTCCCTGTGCTCCTCTGTTTTTTCTTTACCTGTCTGTTGATTTTGTACAGCCTAGAGGGACAAGAGAAATGAAGTCTGTTTGCCTATATGCACGGCAGAAATCTCATCCTTCTTTTCCTTCATCCTTTTAGGCAATCCCTTTCTCTTTGAGACTCTTGTTTTACACTGAGATACAGTCAAATTTATGGCTTGATTTGTCTGACCAGTGTAAAGGCTTACAAAATGCTTTTACCCCCATAGTATGTAACTCTCAGAGTTGGTTTTAAACCTGACTGTTTTTGTTGTAGATGAAGCGCTGACATCTTGCATTCTCTGTCCCTCTCTCTCTTTCTTTTTTTTTCTTTTTCCTTTTCTCTATCTCTTTTTTTTTTTTTGTCATTCTCCCTCGCCTGGCCCAGCCCCCACCTCCCTGCCTCCCTCCCTCCCTCTCTGCCTCCCTCCCTCCAGTCCTCTGGACAGAGCTGCATATTGGCATCACCCAGAGAGCGCAGAATGTATTGTCTGATCATTTCTGCTTCTCATCCCCTTTGGCTGCAGAAACTTCACATTTTTGCTTTGTGTGTGTGTTTGTAAAAGGCTTCCATGGCTACACAGTGTGTTGTAGGATTTTAATATCTAGGAATTTAATAGTAGCATGTAATGCTTCAAGGCTGCATTGTTCACTTGCAACAATTCTCAGTATTGTTTTCATGCGCTAATCTATACTAGATCATTATAATGATATAAAATTCTACTCTACAATTAAACTGTGGGAATTGACATAAAAGACCTGAATAACTTGGTTTAAGTGGAACAGATGCTGTTGTTATTCCATGTTAGTGTTCTGGTTTTATTATCTATTTAATCTCCACAATCTTATTGTCTCTGTAGGAATAATTCAAGAAATATTATTTACGTAAAAATAAACATTCAATTCATTATTTTTATATATGTTGTGTATTAAAGTACGTGTTAAATATGTTATAACCATAAAGGGCTGGGTTATGATTTTTTTCCTGTACAACTGGGTGTTAAAATACAGTAGTCATTACAGATGTTGTACCTCTGATGTTCCATTTTATCTGTCCTCTAAAATAAAACCAGATAAATTGTATTTGAGCCTTGTAGCAGATTCCTTTAAAAGAAAATATTCTTTTTCTTAATGTACTTTTTCTGTGTGTAGGTGCTACCACATGACAGTAAAGCACGTCGTCTCTTTGTAACAACTGGTGGACTTAAAAAGGTTCAAGAAATAAAAGCAGAACCTGGGTCACTTCTTCAGGAATATATCAACACCATTAACAATTGCTATCCAGAGGAAGTAGTAAGGTAGGGAAAATGAAATTAAAAAAATTAATACTTATAACATTGCTAGATGTTTTTCACAGGAACAATACAAAGCAAGGATTTAAAATATTAATTTAATTTCTACATGAATTTTGTTTTTAATAAAACAGCATAACATTTGGTTAACTGCCCCAGTGGTAACACCAGCTGCTAAACACATACTTGTGAACATTTTCTCTTTTCTGATTGTTTTTGAAATAAGATTTTCTGTAAACAAAGCCCAAATAATCAGTCTCTGCCAGGAAGTCGGTCCTGCACTACCCAGACAGGCTCTGAGGCTTCAGCACAACTGCTCTCATATTATTTAATGTCTGTGGGAAGTTTAGTCTATTTTGGTAACTTATTTATGGATTACTCAGGCTCCAAAATACAGGTATTGGTGAATCTTTGGTTGCATCCTTGACTTCCCTAAGAGCCTGTCTGAACTAGTGTATTCAGAGGCTCCTTTGAAACTTCCTCTGATGTATGGAGGGTCCAGAGGCTCTCCTGCACAGTTGCTTTGCCCACAGCTGCCCTTCCTCCCCCAGCCTCATCATGAGGCTTAAATGTTATATAAAAGGACCATACACCAGCTGTCTGCACCAAGTTGAACTTTGCCCTTAATGAATACAGAAACACTATTAAATAGCTTACAGTCAAAATGTCACCATCCTAAATTGTAATAATGAGAGAAATGCCCTCCTAGATTCTAGATATCCATTTACCAGTCCTTCACTCCATCAGCACATCAAAAGGATGTTGTACTCATGCACTCCCTCTACAGGCTCTGAAAATCTGCATCATCAATTTTAATTATAGCAACAGAGTTCTTCAGCTAATAGTGGCTACAAACTAAGTCATGCAAAAGGAAGCCCTGTTTGTATCCACAAGGAAAAGCCAGTCAAATGGGTAAAAGCAAAATCATAAAGTGACTTTAGTCTGGAGCTAATACTTCAGAGGAAAAGAGAACATTTGTTTAGGCTTTTCTGGATATAATTAATTTTTCTTTGTTACAGCTATTTTTTTTTTTCCCTGTAAATGAAACAAGGTTACTCATGTAGGCTGGGATGCAGTGAAAAGGGCCCCTTGGAGCATCTCCTGCTTGCCTCTTTGTGCTATTGCTTGATGTTGGTTGTGCTGCCTGAGGCACAGCTGCTATAATAGACTCCAGCTCTGGGTTTGTCCTGGAGACCTGTTATTTTAGGCTGCTTGCAGACTGAATATAATAATGCACTGGAAAGTCTTTACTATCAGAGAACAATATGAGTTTTAAAAAGAGTTACATTATGCAGAAATCATCCAGGTAAATGGATCTTCCTTCAGTGTGAAAACATTGGGGTTTTCTGCTTTAATACATTTTAGGCATGCGTTACATGGAAGAGTGTTCCTCTATAGTTAAAGCTTCCAGAGCTCAGAGATGACACTTTACATGCCTGCAAACCCAGAAATGTACTGAGATGGATGTTTTTAGAGTAACGCAGTAATACATTTCAGATACTCTTAACCTGAAAGACAAGTACTGCATTTAGCAGCTTTGGTGATGCTTGTGTATTGGAGGCATGTAGTTGGTCCATTGTGCAAAACCAACTGAATGACAGCAGGACAATAATGGCACCAGAGAGTCCTACTCTAATGAAAACTTGTTGGATAATCTCTGTCCTTGAGTTGGCATTAGAGACAGAAGGTCATTGTGATAAATTTTTTTGTTCCAGAATCAATGTCTCTTGCATTGATGTAGACTTCACAGTAGCTTTGGGGTGTGTGCCTGTGTTTGATGAACAGCAGTAGACTATTGTTGTCTGGCAGCCTATAGTTCTGTGTAAACTCATGCTTTTTTATTAAAGGCCATAATTTCAAAAGAAGTTAACATCTACATTCCTTAGTAAAGACAATGCTTACGGCTGCTGAACCTGTCTAAAAACTAGCCACATACCTACATGCCCTAAAAGAAACTAAACATATTTTTGAAATTTTGACTTCCAAGTATAAATTATAATGTAAGTTGAAAAGCAGGCCCTTAAAACATTGTAGGGGAATAACTGTAGAATTGCTTGACTGGTGTTTAATGCTAGAATTTTTTCCTGATCAATAGAAATATGAATAGTATTTCATTACTTAGCACAGAACATGCCTTGTTGTCTAATGCACAAACAAAATGTTTCTCTTTCAGGTATTATTCCCCTGGATATTCTGAGACACTTCTGGAAAGGGTGGAAAATTACCATCCAGTTTTATAAACTTCAATTTTTTATTAGAGCTGTATTTCACTTTTATGCCTCACTGTAATACAAATACAGCTGTTGAAACTCTTGTTTGATTCTGAAATCTCCTTCTACTGTTTGAACTGCTGAAAGAGCTCAGCAATTCCAGTAAGCTATCTTTTGTTCTTTATAAAGTTGTTTGTTGCTAAATTTTTGTTACCTTTTGTTTTCCTCTAACATTACTACCAGATATTGCAGCATATATGAATGGAATTTCAGGCAGGGGTGATGATTTATCACAGAGGCTTTTTCAGAATCAGTCATTTCCTTTTCCTTCCGCAAGAAAGGTTTGTTATTATCTCATTCAAATTTTAGCCTTCTCAGTACTGTAACCATTTTCCCCTTTTGCCTTTGCATATTGTTTATAGCTTCCCAAGCTTGATGAAGGGGGAAAAAGCTGGCCCCTGTGCCTTTTCTAATTATGGAATCCATTCTGCACTGAGATGTCTCCTACTGCTACCTTTCAGAAAGTAAAGTGATGTGATTTTGCATCTCCAAACATCTTAGTAGCTTCTAAATAAAGAAATAATCGGATCTGATGGTGATAGAAGGGCTGAATTCTGTATGACATGATAGTGTGGGTGGTCCTAGCAATGGTAGATAATACATCCTCTGCAAAAGTCCTCCTAATTAAGGCAGGGTTCACTGTGGAGGGAAGGAGCAATGCAGAGTTTGGTGTATGCATCGTTGTTCCTCTTGGAAAGGACAGAGTGAATTTAAAACTTCCACTGGCACAAAGGGAAGGACCCTGGGATGTTTGGCTTCATTTGGGTCAGCAGCAAGTTTGCGCGGCTCAGAAGAGAGGAGAATTGCTTGGCTGCAGGAACACTGTTAGCACAGTTCTGATCACATTCAGAGGAAACCTGAGGATACTTGAGTCCTGCTGATTTGAGTGATGGGACTAAGGCTGCTCAGTACTTCAAGAGCTGAAATTGCTGCAGAATTGAGTTGAAACACCCTTGGAACTTGAAGTTACGGATTACATTGATGTGAAGGTATTGGAGGTATGAACTCTTGCCTGTCTATAGAACATCCTGGAAATATTTTTGCCTTCTTATGTAGAGTGAAAAGACTTCTACATTTTGCCTAATCCTCTGGTGTACTGCAGCAGCAGGGAGCAGCATATAGCCCTTTAGTATTCCCTAATATGTAACTGTCCTTTACCATCTTTTGTTCTTCTAACCATTTTTCTTTTCCTCACATGCAGTAGTTTTTTGTGTGTTTTTTTCTCCTAAGGAGTAATAAACAGTGTTTCTGGAACAGGATGTTGAAATACTGGCAGCCACAAGGAAAGACAATATTTGAAAACCCCTGCAGGAGAGAAACTTGTCTACATTCTTAAACATATTAACTGAATGAGTTTATAAAACAGGGATAGTCTCTTCTATTACTCGTAAAACAGGAGCAAAGGCTTATTGCAGTTGGAAATGATTTAGAGTGGCTTTTCTCTGCCAAATTCCAAATGACTATTTTCTTTTATTCTTGTCAGCATATTTTTCAACAGTTCACAAAAACACTGATGGGCTATCTTGTGTTAAGGTTTAATTCTACAGGGGGCTGTGTTCCTGCTGTGAGGTACTTGGTACTCTCAGACTGTGCTCTTCAGGAGGAGCAGGGATGCACAGTACCTTGCTGTATGGAGCCTAACTGAGATGGAAACTGTTGGTGTCATGAGTGCTGGTATAGAAACCACACCAGCTGGGTTCTTTGCTTAGCCCACATCAGAGTGAAAAGTCTTGGAACTGACTAGCTTCTACGAAATGCCTTTTCATTTTTGGTGTTTATATTCTAACATTATTAATGCTAGAATACTAGTGGAAAAACATTAGGTCTATTAAAAAGATTGTTGCAATACTCAGTAGTTTCCCACATGCATTATGGACATTTAAAAATAAAATCTTGTATAATCTCTAAAAGAAAATATAATGGAAGCGCTTCCAGACACTACTGAAGGATCTGAAGCCTTTATTTTCCCTAATGGAACAGAAATGGTGCTCAGGGCTGAATGCAGTTGCAGTGCAGATGGGAGGCAGGGTAGGCATGGAGCTGTGTACCCATAGCTGCATCATGTGCTTGGGAGCACACCCACACCACACAATGCTAATGTATATGTTTTGTGCGGAGAGAGCAAAGAGGCTTCAGTCCCCTGACAAATGTGCTCCTGCTGTGTCACACTGTGCTACACTGTAAGGATTCCACAGGGTTAAATTTCAATGCCTAAACAATTTGTTCACAGTCTTTTCACAGTCTTTTTCTGATTCCTGACAAAGGAAATGATTGCACAAGGCAAACCTTCAAAGCGATCTGATTGTGCAGAGCACAATCTAAATCAGACCTAGCATAAATACATCTTTACACCAGCTAGGCAGTTCTGTCCTAGGCCAGTGGCTGTTTGGCCTCTTGTCACAGGACTCTCCTGGATGGTGCCACATCCCATTAAGCTGTGGCAGTGCAAAGTCCTCTCCCACATAGTTTGAGACACCCCTCAGCTCTCCTTTGCTGGCAGGCTGCTTCCCCACATTGTACACCTGGTGGCTGGAGGCTTCCCTGGAGGCACTTATGCGAAAGGCAGATCTATCTCTTTACAGCACAATTACCACTAATTTGTATTTTAGGCTTACATTAATAGGGCAAGAGTTGCTTTTTTCCTGTAGTGTTTCACAAGCGCTGATGTACAGTGTTTCTATTCCATCCTCTCATTTGGCTTAAATCATCATCTAAAACTATATTAATGTTTGTAATGGCTACTGTGGCAGGCTTCAAGTGTGTCATTTGTCTTGATTTCATCGAATAAAATATAGATTTGCATTTTAATTCATTGTGTAAATGCTGTTGTCATGCTAGTTTATGACTGTGATGCTAGAGAAGATGAAGAACAGGCTCATTTTACAGCTTGAGCACGACACCACCTTTGGATGTTTGTCTCAGTTTACCACTTCTGAGCTTAGGACATACAAGCATTTCAAGTAAGAGTCCCTCTCACAGAGGTGGCTTATTAAGAAACACAAAGAAAATTAAGCCAGTGCTTTGGCAGAAATAAATGTAAGCGGAGACAGCCCTTAAATCATTTTGCCAGTTCCTTTGACTGCAGCATTGGGACTTTTCAACCCAAGTCTTTAAAGATCTTCTCTGGGGGCCTGAGCCGTGATTTTTGTCTACATTAGTGCAGCTATTATTACATCTACAGATGTAAACCAGGGCCTTGAAAGAACATATGGATGTGTAAAACTTTACCATATTTCATTCAGTGGATGGATTAGCTGGCCTACAAAAGCTCCATTCTTTATCTGAATGACTGGAAACCAAGAGGATCTGAAAAGGGGAAATTCAAGGAGTTCAACTCTTGTGCATATAATATGTTCTGCATTTCCAGAGGGATTTACCAAGGGGTTGCTTTGTCTCATCTGAAGTGATCAATCTGCTGGAGATCCGCATCTTAACAAACAAACGAACAAAATGTTGAAGGAGCTGAATGAAACTGGTGAAGGAAGAAATGAATCTCATTTTGTGAAGTAAAGCATAAAGTTACTGTAATTAGGAAGTGGATGGAGTGTGGGTAGATCCTCAGTGTTCTTGATTTGGTCTAGGGGGCTGTGAATTAGCTTGGCCGAAAGGGAGTTTTAGGCATGGAGGATGCTGTGGGATAGCCAACAGCTGGTGTAAATTGGAGTCCTCTAATTTGGACTGACTGAGGACTGTTGTCCCTTCAGGTGAGGAATCTGTGAAAGCACGCTTGCCTCAGTATCTTCCTTAATAGCTGCTTGGTGTCCAGTATCTTGGTGGTTAGCATTTCAGATCTCACTGTGTGAGCAGGGTAGAAGGGAAATACAGACTAGCACTAGATTACAAAGCCAGTGACTTCACTTCTTGCACTGACAGAATTGCTTTTATGGTCTTGGATAATTATTACAAATCCCTATGCATTATCATCTTCAGCTGTGAAGTATCTGTTATACTCCTTTGTTAGCTTGCAGAAGTGCTGGGAAAATTAAATTCATATGAGAGGTTGATGCAGCAGAACTTATGTTCTTTATAACTAATACCATATTCAGAAAGGAATATTGCTCAAGAACCTACAAAAATTTACCTAAGAAATCTTTGAGATGATGTTTTTTAGAATTTGAGTTGAACTAGAAGCCAGTGGATTTTGTGAGTTTCCTCATCTGACACGGTTTGAAGGGATCTTGGAGAAAGAGAAAATTACAATGTCTCTCATGACTATACTAAAACTATTGATGTCATTTTTGTAACTGTTAATATTGATGCTACTATGCTGTATTCTGCAGTCAGCTCTATAATTTAGCTAGCGAAAATACTAATTACGTTATTACTTCTGTACTGTATTTCTAGATACTGCACAAAAGATTGAATTAGGAAATACATATAAGCAATACTAAAGCATATTTGAATGATGAGAATGCCTTTTAAACCAGGAAACGGTATTGTGCTGCCTTTCACAAGAAGTTACTCAGGTTAAACACATTTCGTAGTGTTCTCTGCCACTCAGAGGTCCAATCATGAAGCTTGCTGAGTGCTCAGTGAAGTGCTGAGGACCATGATCTGTAGCAGAAGCTGGTTGTGTTCACTATCACACATCAGCAAGCTATGGAGAGGAACAATTCGAGTGTAGTTAGGTCATCATCTTAACAGATTTCCATAGAGGTTTTGAAGGCTTGCTTTTTCTTCATAAAAATATGCTTGTGCCTACTAGTTCCTAGCTCCAAATTGAGTTAAAGAACAGGTACCCTGCTTGACTTTAGCTATTCTATATTTTGTTCCTTTTATAACAAAAATTAAATTTTGAGGGGGGGAAGTGTCTTAATGTCTTCCTTTAAAATAAAGTTCTTGATTATTTTTGTGTCAAAATCAGCCACAAGACTCTTCATAATCTTGTGTCAAGATCTGTGCCTTTTGCTCTCAAGAAAAGTTTTGTCTCACTGATACAGATTACTGATGTGTTTTATCCCTGTTGTCCTATTTATAATTAGGTCTGATGGCCTCTATCCATGTTGACCTTTCAATATTAGGTCAGTGTTAAAGCCATTATCAATCTAAAAGGTTGTATGACTACCAAGATTCAGGCTTTATTGCCCCACAGTGCTATAAATTATATTACAATCTACTGTTAAAAATTAATAATACGCAACGTA